GGAAGGAGAAAACCTATTCCATAAGGATTGCCTGAGATGTAAGAGGAATAATGAGCAAAAAGATTGACTAGGATGTAGGAAAATCTAAATTCACATTGACTATATTGGGTAATGCTGCCTATATGTAGTAGATGAAAAATTAAAAACCAAATCCATGCCCACAATAACATGTGATTGGGATGGAGGGTGAGAGGAGAAGCGGTTCTAAATGCTTGTGTCGTTTGGAATAAATATGGAGATACTGATTAGCTGAATACTTTATCAAGTTAAATATGCATAGAGAAATTTAAGGGAGAGTAGTTCTGCCTTCTGCTTAGGACAGCAAAAGACCACAGCAGACTGGCATTCCCATCCTAACAAGAAACATCCGGATAATCTACAGAAATCACAACTTTCTTGGAGCCCATCTAGGACCTGAGGTCAGAAGGCAACCAGGAAAATAGTCTCAGAGAGTGACAAGCCCCTCCCAGGAGAGACAGGACACATTGACTCTGTCACCTTTGTGAGGACCCGGGAATAAGAGATGGACACCATACAAGTGAGTCAGAAGAAATCAGGTAAAATCGTAACCGATTCTTAAAGGTCAATTGTGAGTTAGCTTGCCAGTTTGGAAGAGCTGGGGTTCCCAACATGAGAGGATTTATGACTCACAAGATCTTTCCATGGGTCTTTATCAGGCGCCGATGAGAAAGACTGTGGACAGGTCTCAGGAGATCATAGAGAGGCCCCTTGGTGGCACAGGCACCCAGGAGGTCATGTTTCTGCCGAGGCATAGACACGAGGCTCCTCCTGCTTGTCTGGACCTCCTCTTGTAGGAAGCGAGAGCTTTAGGACACTGGCTAAGGGGACTGAACGATGTCACCCCTGGGGACCAGCTGGAAATCCACTGCTCTGCTCTGTAGGAGGTTCAGCAGTAAAGATCTTCTGCCCAGGGGACAGGGACAGGAGGCCTCTGCGGTTCCCGGATCTTAGGCTGACGTTAAGCTGAGGTCTGCTGCCACCAGGGGAGCAGCAGGAAACTCAGGGAGAAAGCAAAGTTCGATGGACATGGGGAACAGGGATGCTGAGAGCTCCACTCCAGGGCCTGGGCACAACAGGCTGTCGTCTGAGATTGAACCAGGGTTCCAGAGACCCTCCCCACCCACCAGCATGAGCCCAGCACGAGCCCAGCACTGAGGGTAACAAGAGTGGAAACAAACCCCCGCACCAGCTAACTCCTGACAAGACTAATTCAATCCTGCACACGAACAGACTGATAGAAGAGCAGGCGTGTCGTACTGTTTACCTCAGTCTCTCCTCTTCCTCTCATCATGTCCAGCATTCAGTAAAAATGTATGAGACACACGCATGCAAAAGCAAGAAAAAGCAACCCACTGCCGTAAGATCAAGAAATCAATAGAACTAGACTCAGCGATACCCCAGATATTGGCTCTATCAAGGAAGGACTTTAAAGTAACTGATTAATATGGTGAAGGTTCCAAGGGAAAAGGTAGATAACATGCATGAACAGATAAGAAATTTCAGCAAAGAGATGGAAACTATAAAAAGGAGTCACACAGAAATATCGGAAATTAAGAGCACATGGTTAGAGGTGAGGAATTTCTTTGGCTGAGCAGCACACTGGATACAACTGAGGAAAGAGATGGTGAACTTGAAGACTAATTAGAGTCAAACTCTTTAAACTGTATCACAAAGAATAAAAGAGTGAACAAAAACTGAACAGAGCACCCATATACTGTGAGATAACACAAACCATCCAACAGACATGTGTGTGGCGTCCCAGGACGAGAGAAATACCTGTATCATGAGGGTGGGCCCCCGGGCTGCTGAAGGAGCTAAGTCTGCCTTCTATTCGGGACGTCAGTAACAATATTGCTAGTGGGTCAATGACAACATCCGATATTTTGTTATTAAACCTGGTCATAAATAGCACTGTAGACTTTTTTTCTAAGTGTTACTGATATGTTAAATCACTGAACACCCAGCCTCTAACATTGTACTATGTTACATTCCATTATACAGATAAGGAAACTGAGGCACAGAGGTGAGAGGGAGGCCCTCCAAGGTCACACAGCTGGGAAGTGGGGGAGCTGGCTGGCCCAGCCAGGCTATCAGACTGAGAAGCCTGGGTGATAACCACAACCTTAAAATGTGTCCCCATGACCTGACACTGATACTACAGGGAGAAGGCCCAAGGCCAGGCTTGGAACGCGAGAAGACAGTCCAGTCCAGGGGCTGGCAATGTTTTTCTGTAAGGGGCCAGAGAGTTAAGCGTTTTAGGCTTGTGGTCCACATAGAAACTGTCTCACCTGTTCACTTAGCTCTTGTAGCACGAAAACATCCATAGACAATACATAAATGAATGGTGCAGCTGTGTGCCTATAAAACTTTATTTGCAAAAACAGGCAGTGGGACGGATTTGCGGGCCTTTGCAATAGACAATGAACATGGCAGGAGTGCAGGCATGGGACTGTATTTCCCACTGTAATTTTTATAAAAACATTTGATTTTCTGAAAAGGATTGTTCTATAACTTTTAAAATAACAAATATTAAGACAAAAAAAAACCCCAAAGATAACCATGAAAAGGATAGAAATATCAAACTTCCAAGCTAGTTGAGGGAAAATGGAGTGAAAAATAATAGATCAATCAATGGCAAAAGAAGGCAAGAAAAGAGGCAAAAGAGGCAAAAGAAGCAAAAAAGAACACAACAGGAAAAACATACGTTTCAGTCACCACAGAGAATGCAGACTAAGTCCTCCAGGTAAAAGACAGACAAAGACCAGCTATACTCTGCTGCAAGAGATACATCTAAAGCTAAAAACACAAAATTTCAACAAAAAAGAAATGGAAAAATAGACAAAGCAAATGCTAATAAGTATTTATGTATTATGGTCATATCAGAGAAAGGAGAATTGAAAACAGAACAGAATTTAAGGCAAAAAGCATTGCTAAGATAGAAAGGGTCAGAACATTTCTGGCCACATGATAACATAACCTTAGAGTAGGCAAACTGATACTTGACATAAATACAAGGAAAAGTGGTAGTTCTCTAGTGCAAAGTTTTAACACACACATCCTTCAATAATAGAAAGATCAAGAAAATGAAAAAAGCAAACAGAAGATTTGATTAATCTAATGGCTCTCTCTCTATATATCTCTATCTCTGCTTCCATCTCCATCTTGGTATCTCCACTTCCATCTAACAGTTAGTGATTGGCTGTATTCCACAAGCACACCCAGGTTATTTCTAAGACTGACCATGCGTTAGCCCTTAAGCCTCAGCAAATATCAAAGGATCAATCATATCACATAAACCATGGTTTCTGACAACAATGCAATTAAGTTAGAAACCAATTTAGAAAAAAGTAACTAAAAACATCTCCATGCATCTGGAAATTACAATAGCGAAGATTTCTAAATCACTCATGAATCAATAAAATTCATAGTGGAAATGAGAAAATACTTAGAAATAAATAATAACACTGCATATAAACCCTTCCATGAGCTCAGCCAGGACCGGAGGCTGAGAATGGCTGCATGGTCATCTCTGGGGAGTCTGGCACAGGAGTCCTGACTGTGGAGCCCTAGCAGAGACCCTACTTGTATGTGGGGGTTGGTGAGGAGGGGGAGACAGGCTGGGCAGGGAGGGTTCTACCTGTTGGGGTAGGCTCTGTGCTCCACATTACCCAGGAGAGAATGGGGCCCCCTTGCACCCCACAGCTGGGGTGGGTGGGGTCAACCCTGTTCCTAGGAAGCCTCTAAGTTTGGTGTTTTCAGCCTGGGGAGCCCTGAACAGAGGTTCCCTGGGGCCTGGGCTCCCTGGGCTCTCTGTGCAGCAAGTGATCCTTTCCCTGCCCCATGCCCATGGAGTTGGCAGTGCCCTACACTGGCAGGAGCCCAGGAGGTGCCAGAGAGCACAGCAGCTGGCACTTGGTCAGGCCGAGAGCAGCCCTGGATGGTGGGGGGATGGGGGTGGGGTTGGGAGGATGCCCACCACATCCACAGGGTGTACCCACTTCAGGTTCATAGAAACAGCCTTGCCCAGAGACGCATGGAGGTCCCACCGATGGGCAGAGGCTTGGGCCAGTGAGGGAACATTCTAGTAACAAAGCCTGTGCTGCCCTATTGTCGAGAGTGCAGAGAGGTGAGTGCTTCTGTAGATTCACCTGAGTCTTGAGCCCTCCACCTGCGGGAAGAGCAACCCAATACCTGCCGGCAGGTGTACACCCGATGGACACGACTCCCCCCCACCCACCCCCGGGGGCAGCAGGGCACAGCTGGGATTTGACTCGGGCTGCCTGGTGCCCAGGTGTATGCACGTGAGCCCCCAGGACTGAGGGGAAAGTCCGGGCTCCTCCACGTGGCCCTGGCGGTGTGGGGGTGGGGTGGGGGGCAGTGCCCTATACTGCGATTGGGGGTGTTCCTGCAGGGCAGCTCTGCCCTTGCCCCCCATTTCTCCGGGTCCCTAGCCCGGCTCCCTCCCACCATCTTGCAATAAGAGAGCCTGTCTGGGAAGCCACGAGGCCAGGGGAAGAGGATCCCAGGAGGTCCTTCCCACAGGGTGGCCATGGAGGCGCAGCGGAACCCCAGAAGTGGAGCGCGGGCTCCTGCTGCTGGGCCGGCCGGGAACTGCCGCTCGCGGAGCGGCCGGGAGGGGAGGGGGCCGCGCGAGGGGCGGGGGACCTGGTCTGCGGCAGCTCGGGAGTCCCGCAGAGGCCGCGGGTTCAGAGGCTGCAGCGACAGCCGCGCTCCAGCCGGAGCCTGGGCAGAGCCTTCTGGAAGGGGCCCCGGAAGCCCCGCAGGTCAGTGACCCTCCTATGGAGTCCGCGGCACAGTCCTGCAGCCGCCCGTGCCAGTGAGACCCCGCCTGTCCCACCTGACAAGGCCGGCTCCTCCCGGGTGGGTGGGCACGAAGGCCCTTCGGGGGCAGTGGGGGCCAGCCACTGTGAACAGCGTGCTGGGGTGGCAGGCCTGAGAGAGGGGGCCCCTTCACTCACCTCTGCTGTGGGCGTAGAGGAGGCCCAGGGTCACCAGGGCGCCTGTCGCCAGGAGCAGCAGGAGCAGCAGCAACCCCTCCAGGAAGCCTGGGCGCTTCTGCCCCGAGGGGCCAGCCATCTCCACCATCCCCACTGGGCTTTCGGGCTTCCCCATCACCAAGTCTCTAAAAGAGGGACGGTGCACAGCTGAGCAACCCCAAGGCCAAGGGCAGGGGCAGCGTCCACCCAGGGCAGGGGAGAGGCGGTGAGAGGCTTCTGAGTTCCTGTCCGAGGCTGGAGGGGCCCGAAGCTGGTTGGGAGCGGTGTCGTGTTCTTTTGGGGTGCTCAGCCCCTCTCTCCATTGCCAGGTACACAGCCGGCCCTGGAGCCTGTTTCACAGCTTTCCACACCTTCCTGGGCTGGAGTCTCCGAGCGCCCAGAGGCCCCTGGAGTGGAGGGAGGCCCAGCATGGTGGCCCTGGTGGCAGTCTCCCTCAAAGGCTTGCTTCTCCAAGCCCACTGTCTGGCAATGGGTGGTCTGGGGACCCCTCTGCTCACAGCTTGGGGTCCACATGCCAGACCCAGCCCAACTCCGTGTGTTTGTCGAGGGGCCACTGCAGTGGAGCCTGCCTGGGCACACTCACATGCATGCACACACTCACATGCACACTCAAGCACATGCATGTAAGCACGTGCATCTGCACACATCTGTGTGTGAGTCACACACATGTGTAGGAGTGTGTGCATGTGTGAGAGCATGTGTGCACGTGCTCCTTTGTGTGTGTGTCACGTGTGTGTGTGCACCGCCTTTGCTGGCACGCAGAGCCCTACCCCTGAAAGCTGCTTGGGCACTTGGGCAGCAGCTGGCTGCTGTCCTCACCTCAGGACATGCTCACACCCGATGTCTGCGCCCTGGTGCCCAGCCCTGCCCAAGGTGGGGCTGGCAGCCTGGGAGAAGCCTGAGGAAACAGACCCAGTCTTGCCCTTGGCAGGTAACATCAGGCTGTTGAGACCACGCAGGGCTGGCTTAGATGTTCTGACCCACCCATACCCGAGGGCCTGCCCGTGTTCACTTCCCACTCACAGGGGATCCTAGACGGTCTCGTAACTCTCTGGGCAGCACCTGCCGCATGCCCCACCTTAGAGAAGCAGGCCTGCTCTGATCTCAGGACCCTCTGGCGCCCCATCACCTCTCATGGTGCCCCCTGCCATCCTCCCTTCCCCAGATCCCTGCCTGCTGCCTGGCACTCCCCGGAAGTCCCCAGGCGAGGCCTTCCCTGGGTTCCGAATTCTTCAGCACAGCCGGCCCCAGCACCCCCTGCACTCCAGGCCTGATTGCGGCTTCACCACCAGACATACGCCCCTTATTTCTATTTCCATCTGCCCCTCAGGAACGTCATCCCCAGGGGCTCCATCTGCCTGGATCCCAGCACCTAGACTGGTGCCCACCACCCCAAGGCATCAACCAACATTTGTTGATTGAAAGAATGAATGGTATGAATGAATTTAGTTGGACAGGTCCAGACTGTCTTACTTTAATCGGGACGAATTCACTCAGCCCAGTAATCCACTTCATTCTGTCCTGCTGACTGCCAGAAACTTACATGACAAAAAGGCACATACACAAGAAAACCCTTTGAATCCAAGCTTTCTGCTAGAAAAGCGGCAGGGGGGCTGCCTGAGGTCCTCACCTGCGGCCTCTCCAGGCTATTGTGGGGGGAAGACAGGGGTCCTTACGGGAGAACTAGGCCGGGATTGGGACCTACCTGCCCCAGTCCAGGTGAAGCTGCGCATAAAATGCCTCACCCGCCCCCTGTATATTGGGCTGGGCGCTTGGAGGGTGTTCTCAGGGTGCTGCCCAGGAGAGCTGGCACAGCAGGCAGGCCCCTCGCTTAGCTCACCTTCAGGTCACTCGGGAATGTGTGTCGCCCGCAGGCAGGCAGGTCTCAGCAGGCAGGGTCAGGACGGCCTAGAGTTTTGGTGCGCCGGGGTCAGGTGGGAGGGGCTCCCAGGGCCAGGAGAGCAGTGACTTTGGGGGCTCAGTGAGGCTGGTGCTGGTTTCTTCCGCCTTCCGCCTTCTGGGCCCCCTTTGTGATGCAGGTGTGGGTTCCCTGGGGGTGGTGACCTTATTACAGTCAGTGAGTTCCATCTGGGATTGGTGTGGGGGAGGGGTCAGCGAGCAGCCCCTGGGGCCCCGACTCCCTAAGTGGGTGTCCCTTCCAGGGCCTCTGGCCCTGCCAACTGACTCCTGTCCTCCCTCACTTTGACCCCTCAGTCGACAGGCCACAGGGGCTTCTGGGAAGGCAGGCCTGAGCCTTCGCCTACCCTGCCCACTTTGCCTGAACGTTCGGGACCCGAGAGCCATGTTGGCTGGTGCTGGGGTTTGCAAAGGCCCCAACCGTGGGGTTCCTTTCCCTTAAGTCTCCAGTGAGGGTGCTGCATTCTGGGGCCCTCGCCAGGTGTAGGGGAAGTGGGGGTTCCTGCTTATTATGATATGGGGTGGGGCTGCCAGGAAGGGTCCCCACCCAGGGACACACACATTCAGCTAGCATGGGGCTCAGTCACCTCCCTCTGCCCCGGGGCACTCCAGGCTCAGACCCTAATCTCCAGGGGCCTGGAAGCCCTGGCTGGGGGAGCCGGAGAGGGACTTCTTGGCAGGTGCCCCAGATTGTGAATCAGCCTCCTCAGCCCCGCTGACAGGGGCCGGGGGGCTGTGGGCAGACCAGGCCCCTAAGAACCCAGACTCCCTTCTCCAGACCTGGTACCAGTGCTGTTCTGCTTCCGTTTCAGAATCCTGCGAATGAGTGGCCCCCCACGGCCCTGGGGCTCTCTGAGGGTGTCTGGGTGGAGCTGGGCCACAGAGCCAGGGTTGTGGCAAACAGCCCGAGGGCCCTGTTGGAAGCATGTAGTCCATGTTCAGGTGGCCTCAGGTTAAACCAAGCCCTGGAAGGGCAGCACTGTGGGGGCTCAGATCCCAGACACCACCCCCAGAGCCTAGGGAACGCTCTCCTTGGCCCCCTAGTTGTTCCCAGCAGCCCCATCAGAAGGCCCAGAAACCCACCCACTGCCGCACGCAGTGACAGTGCAGTAATGGCAGCATGGACTGTCCCGTGCCGCGGACTCTCCCGAGTGTCCTGGAGCACTTACGGGGAGAAAAGGACCTGCTGGGGTCTCTGAAGGCTCAGCTCAAGTCAGCCAGTCAGAGGAGTCCATGGCGGCCCCAAAGGTCCCCATGTCGCAAAGCCTCAGGGCTGGTATTGCGCAAAGCCAAACACACACTCGCTCCTGCACGTGGCATGGTTACAGTGTCGGTTGCACTTAGAAATTTTCACCAAGTTTCTTATGAAAAGTGAGGGCATTGATGGGGAAAGGAATGGGACGCTGAAACTAGGAAGGGGGCTGTCTGGTATGGCTCAGATGAAGCTGAGAACCTTGAACCCCCAAGTCCTCTGAACCCCTCTTCCCAGTGGAAGTGGCTTGTCCTCCACTGTCTGGGGAGACCAGCCTTTTCTCGTTACAAACCTGTGAGAACCTCCCGTGGGTTGGGGGCCTAGAAAGTGGATGTTCATCCTACTCAACCGTTCCTCCCACTAGCTTTTGACTCTAGATCCATAAGTAGGGTTGGATCTCAGCATGCTGGGGGGTGGGGGTCAAGTGCAAAGGCTGACCCTGGAGGAAATAGCATATGCACCCCACTAACTGCTGGATTTCATTAGCTCACACTGAGAAGCCTGGGAATTCCAGTGGGAACAGAGTCTACCAGTGTGGGACCAAGGCGGAGGGGACACAGCATGGGCTGGCTCTGTGGACATGGGTACACCTGCCAGAGGTGCCGAAGGTCATGGGTTGGCTCACTCAACTGCCGGAAGTGACTCTAACGGCTCACTTGGCAAATGACTCGATGGTGGTCCATGTTAGCGGAGATGCCTGGGGGGCTTCCAGAGGCCCAGGGAGATAGTGTGTTGGAGCGGACGGATCCTGTGTGACTGGTGCACCCCACGACAGCCCCCACGTGGGCCACAGGCCTATTTCTCCTTAGCTCTATTGCTGCGATAAACCACAGGAACACACTTCTGAATTGGGAACCGTCCTTGCATTCCGGGTACTCTGCTCATGCTGTGTTATCCTTGAAATGTGCCATTGTACTTGACTTTGTTGGTGTTTCACTTAAGATTTTGGAACTGGTGATTGATAAATGAAGTTGGTTGTGGCTCTCACTTGGTGGGGATTACGCTTTCTTTGAAGAAGAACTTTGGAGCCTTTCTTCTTGGCTCTGGAGAAGCTCAAAGTGGCCCGGAGTTGACTCTTCTGGAGGCTGGATTTCCCCGATGCCACCCGCATCTGGGCCTGCTCCGTGGGGGGCTCCTTCACGGCCTCCTCTTTCCCTCCTGGAGTCAGTGTAGTTAAGCAACATTTTCCTAGGAACTAACTCATTTTATCCAGGCCTTCAAATGTATTCCCATAGAGTTGAGATTCTTTCAGTTGCTTCTGTATCTGTTACTTTGTCCTTGTCACTTTTACAAATTTTGTGCTCGTCATGGAAGTGCCTGACATTAAGCTTTGGGTTGCCATTTCAGAAGACATCCATCTCAAAGAAATATATCGCCAGCTCGCAAAACCACCAGATAAGGAACTAGGCCGTCCTCACACAAGAAAACTCCTCTTTCAGAAAACCCGGGGGACCCAGATAACTGACTGCTTAGGTGACCTGCCTCTATCTCTGGAGACCTAACTGCCTTTCTTATGCTCCAAATTAGCCAATAATGAAGGGCCCACAAAACCCAACACCCCACTCGAGGACCCTCATAAAGGCGGAGCCCCAGGTCCACGCTCTCTGTGCTCTCTACCCTTGACCTTGCTGCGTGGCCCCAGGTGAGCTCTGCGCCCTCCAGGACCTGTGAGCAATAAGTCTTGTTCTTCAAAGGGAGGAAAGATGTTTGTGTCATCCCAGCCTATTGATAGCGACGCTCTCGGCTAGGAATGCCTGGGCCTGTGCTACCTGTGGCGAGCCCCACAGGCATGTTCCTACAGGCTGCTCTGGGCTGGGGTGGGCGCCAGCTTGAGGGCCTGGGCGAAGGCCCATGCAGCCCTGGACTCGTCCCCCAGGCTCAGGAGCAGGCGGCCCCTGGAGCACAAGTCCTCCGCCCTCATCCGGAGGTCACAGTCCCCTGTACTGTCCCGGAGTACGTGGTCCAGGTCCCTGAGTGCCTGGCCAAACTCCTGCTGAGGTGTGTCCTGACATCACGCCAGCCACAACACTGGCTCAAAAGGGGACACGTCTGTGGGGCTCGCCACAGGTAGCACAGGCACAGGTGAGGGCACAGGCATTCCTAGCCAAGAGCCTCACTATCAATAGGCTGGGATGACACAAACATCGTTGCGCTTTTTCCTTCTTTCTTGCTTGTGATTGGCTCATCTATTTTATCATATTTTTGCATAACCATATATTGGATTTAGTAGTGCTTCCATTTTTCTATTCCTAATTTACTCCTGCTGTTATCCTTATGAATTCCTGCCTTCTGATGTCATTTGCATGCCTGAGCGATGGGAACACTCGGGGCCCGGCCCACCCCTGGCACTGCCGTGGCCGCACCCCATGCGTGCTTCCAACCATTTTTGTTACTATTTTCCCAAGATTATGCAATTCAAGATTTGATTCCCTTTGGACCCAAGCGTTGTTTCACATGCAGGGAATTTTTAAAAATTAATTTATAGCTTTATTGTCGAGATTGGCTAATGCAACCTATACCATATTGTGACCATTTTCTCAAAAACCTAGTGTGTGGTGACTGTGAAAAGCAGGTGCAACCTCTCCTCTCGGATAAGACTGATTTTTATCAGTCTGTCCACCTTAGCCTTCTGCTCCAGAGGCCGTCCAGGGCCTGCTAGCTTTGTCCACTTGAGTGCCACGGCGTGAAGTTGGAGTAACCATCAGCCGTCTCATGTACCTGCAGACAGTGGATGTGGGACTGTCCCGTGAGGCAAGCTGGGGCTGGAGGGGAGGGCACAGGGCAGGACAGACTTTGCCTGGGGAACTGGGGAGGGTGAGTCCCTGTGGAGGGTCCCTGGGCTGTCTTTTGCTGAGGAACCTGCTCTAAGCTGGGAGCCCGGGTGTGGCTTCTCGACAGCCCACTAACTTGACTGTGACTGTACAAATCGTTGAAACTTTCGAGCCTCAGCTTTGCCAACGGGATGAGGCTACTTCACAGGGTTTCCAGGTAGAAAGAGAAAGCAATAACTCTCTCTGTTTGGTATGGTCTCCAAGGCCATAGGTGGCGGGCTTGGGCACTGGGCTCCCCGGGAGAACTTGAAAGTATGGGTCTTGGCCGGGTGGCCTGGCTGAGGAGTTTGGTCCTTGGGGAGCCCAGGTGCTGCAGGAGCCCGGCCTGAGGCTCGGGTCAGTGTCAAAGTCCACTTCGCAGGAAAGGGCTTCCTGGGTGGCACCATCTCCCCAGGGCTACCGGGGGCCAGCCTTCATCTTGTCCAACCTGCAGGTCCAAACCCGGGGGCCAAGAACTGGGGCTGCTTCTTGGAGGCCCCAGCTTCAGTGACCAGGTTGCACCTGCAGCAAGGGGCTCTGAGCCTCCCAAGACAGTCACATTCCAGGCCAGCGGGGTGCTCTCTGCTCTCCAAGGCTGGCTGTCCAACACCAACCCACCCCAGAGTGAGGAAGGCTGGAAGGGCGGGGTGAAAACCTCCCTGATTTGGGGGTGGGGTGCACTCCAGGGTCTGGACATCGGATGAGAATGTCAGGGTGGCCCTGTGACGGCCTGGGGACTGCGGGGTCAGTGGAGCCGGCAGCCCGAGGTAGCCTCCCTCCGGATTCTGGACTTCAGCCTCTTCAGGCCGCCGTGCTCAGGGTCCACGAGAAGGCCGCTCTCTGCTGCTGTCCAGGCCTCTGTGTAGCACTGCTCATCCAGGCAGCGCTGCCCATGGCACAGGAACACGCGGGTGGTGGGGGCCCGGCCTGGCTGTTCCCACAGGCTGTTCTGGGCTGGGGTGGGCGCCAGCTTGAGGGCCTGGGCGAAGGCCCGTGCAGCCCTGGCCTCATCCCCCAGGCTCAGGAGCAGGCGGCCCCTGGAGCACAAGTCCTCCGCCCTCATCTGGAGGTCACAGTCCCGTGTACCCTCCTGGAGCACGTGGTCCAGGTCCCCGAGCGCCCGGCCAAACTCCTGCAGCTCAGTCAGGCAGGCGGCCCGCAGGCGCAGGTGACGGGCCCTGCCACCACTAGCCAGGACGGCTAGCGAGCAGTAGCCCAGCGCCTGGCAGGGCTGCCCTGAGTTCAGGAGGGCACTGGCTTCCTGGGCTGCAGTCTGCAGGGGAGAGAGAAAGGGCGGGTGCGGCTCAGCCCAGAACACTGCAGCCCCTCCCCAGCCCTGCACACCAGCCTCTGTGAGGAGGACGCCCCCCCCTCAGTCCCGCCACCAGAAGCTCTGCAGCCTGCTGGGCTCCGCCCCTCTCCTCCAGGCTCCTCCCTGTTCCCAGCCCCACGGCTTCCATCCCTCGGATGACCTGCTCCCTCTGCAGTCACCTCCCCGCAGGTCCTTCTGTCCTTCCCGTCCTCCCAGGACTGCCCCACCCAGGGGACAGTAGCGAGCACCATCTCTGCCAGCCTGGTCCTCGAGCCCAAGGTCAGGAGGGGCCTTCTAGCACCGGTGGGTTTCTCACTGTGGTCCCGCAGAGCATCCGAGTTGGGGAGACAACACGCTGCTGCCCGCTCCCTCCGCCCTGCGCCCCAGCATCTGCCAGCACAACCCCGGGTGCTCGGGTGCCCCGTTTGCCCCTCAGGCTCAACCTCCTTTTCTGAGCGTGGATGAAGCCCACCCTCTAAACCGCCTCTCTCCAACCACCCTGCGGCTAAGTCTGCTGGCCTCACATGGCTCCTGTCCTCGAGAACCCACAGTGGGTCCCACTGAAGGCTAAGGCACACAAGCGCCTGCCTTCCCCGCTGTCCCGTCCTCTTTTCTACGCAGCCGGGTCGCACCAATGATCCCTCCCCGCCATGTCGCCAGCACTCAACAGGGACGCTGTCTGGGGGCGCAAACGCCGGGTTGGGAGGCAGCTATGTGCGCGGGGAGGGGGAGGGAGGCCCGGCCGAGGTCAGTGTCCAGTGCCCGCGGCGTTGCTGCGGGGGCTCCTTCTCGGGGGCCGTGGTTCTTTTCTCCCACCAGACCGACAGCGCACAGGGAGAGCGGGGCGGCCTGGGACCGGGTAGAGCCCCGCTCGCCTCCCCGCTGTGTGACACTGACCAGCGGCTCGGCCTCTCTGTGCTGCACCGCCTCGCAGACGCAGCGCCCTCTGGACGGGCTCCGCGCGATCCCGGCTCAGGGGAGGAGCCGCCAGCCCGGCCGTGCAGGGCCGCCGGAAGCGGGGCACGACCACTTCCGGTTCCCTTCCGGGTAGGCCCGCGTCGCCGGGCAACGGCCGCGCGTCGCCCGTATTCTCCCGGAAGCCGAAGCCAGCCGTCGAGTGGCCGGGCCCAGCGCCTTCTGTGCTCGAGACCCGGTCGGGCCCCTCCTCTGGGATCCCCGCCTGAGCTCTTGATACCGATGACACGGTCTCACTCGTGGGTTCCCTGAGCCCCAGGGGCAGCTGTCCCCTCTGCAGTGCCCACTGCTCTTTGCGCATCGTGCCCCGAACGCCCGCGTGCCAGTCCTCTGCCAGCCTCCCTCGCTGAGACACCTCGTGTGGACCGCGAGGCACGCAGCCCGCCAGCGCCGCGGGCACAAGGCCGCGCGCACAGGGCTCCGTTCAGGCACTCACTCCAGCTGCCGGGTGGGCTCCCGGCAGGCCCCGCTGGCGGTCCCTTCACCTGCCCCCTCAAAAGGCTAAATGCAGCCCTGCCTCTCCCGCCCGCCTGGCCGGGTCCTGCCTCCAGCCAGTGGAGCGGGCAAGACGGTCAGCCCAGATCCAGGACAGGCTGCCCACGTGCTCCCGTCAGATCGGCTTCTTTACAGCTTGGGCCAGAAACCTGCCCCCACCGCAGCCCTCTCCGCGCCCGCAGAGCCACGTGAGCCCCTTTCTTGAACGTTCCGAGCTGCGTCTGCGCCGTGGCCCATCTGTCACCATCAGGGTCTTGCCTCCCGTGCCACCTCACTACCCAATGCCCTGTTCTAGGGTCTCCCCGACACTGACACTCTCTCCCCCGCTGTCTCCCCTGAGATTCCAGGCCTACAGGGCAGGGCTGGGGCTCCACCAGCCTGGTTAGGAGCTCATGCATTCTTGTCGGATAAACAGTGGAAGGAAATACCAGCCAGCCAAAGAGGCAGCAACCCAGCCCTTCCCCTCAGGGCCCCTCAGCTCACCACCTGCAGGAATCCACCTCCCCAGTCCTGCTCTCACGGGGAGGCACGCGCCTCTCCTGGCCTGACCTGGGGCTGGGAGGGCTTCTTGCGAGGGCAGGTGCACCGGGCTGGCTTGGCCTGGCTCTGAGGAGGTAGTCCCCTCCCTCTCCCCGACTCAAGTCAGCTGTGGCTTATACACCTCATGCAAAGAAGCCGGAAGGTCACTGGGGTTGTCAGGGCTTGAGCTGGCCAGCTGGGTGCCTCCTGCGTGCACCCCCACCCGCTCCACACCCAAGTGAAATCAGCACAGAGGGAGTCCAGAGCTGCCCTGAGCACTGGGTGCTGGGGGACAGGGGCTGGAGTGGGGCTCCGTGGAGTGCTGTGCACACCTGGGAGAGGCGCTGCTGCTCTGAGGTCTCCAGGAGACACAGCAGGAAGCCGAGGTCCTGGGCATCCGTCTCTGCCAGGCACTGCAGATCGCGCGCAGCAGCTGGCATATCTCCCTTCTTGAGCCTGAGCAGGCCCCGCCGGGCCTGGGCTGCCTCCGACTGCAGTGTGGGGTCCAGGATTTTTTGCAGGCGGGTGCCAGCCTCCTCATAGCGGCCTGTCAGGGATTCAGGAAGGAAGGGTCAGGGTGGGGCTGGGGTTGGGGGCAGGGAGGTGGGACTCACCGCCGCTGCTCTGGGAAGCCAGCCAGAGAAGCCGGCCGCAGCCCTTGCTCTGCATTGGCTTGGGGAGCAGCACGCGGATGGAGGGCTCAGCCCCGGGAGGAGGAACCCAGAGCAGAGGGACATGGTGAAACCATGCCGGTCACATGGACTCGCCTGCTACCAGTAATCCCACCTGGGTTGGTCACTAGAGTCCGTGACCCCATGGCTGGGCAGCACGGTCTGAGCCCCTCACTGGAGTCACCACAAAGGTCTGCTTTCTCCCAGGCCCCTGCGAGCAGGGCAACATGGGGTGGGAGCAGCTCCCTACCCCCTGAAGGCCTTGGTGAGGACACCTCACAGGCCTGGAAGCGAGGATGACAGGCCAGGGAAATGCAGGCTGCACAGAGTGCTTCCCTTTCAAGTTAGTGCTGCAACATGGTCAGGGTTTTGCAGGAAAGGCTGACGTTGTGTCACACAGGAGCTTAAGATAATCTCGCTGGAACGGGGCCTGGGGCCCGGTCAATATCTGCTGAATAAGCTCTCGAGTTACTGAGGAAGCCTGAATGTTGGAGCCTTGTCTGAAGCCCCAAATCACTCCTTTGTTTCTCCTCCCTACAGGCAAAGTCACATAGGTGACAGAGAGCCAGAGACACATACACGCCAGGCCCACGCTGGGACCAGGTCCCAGGAGCTAGGATTCAGGGTGGAAAGGACCTTAGAAGCCACCGAGTCCAGGACTTCATTCTCCAGTTTTACAGAAGAGACTCCAGGGGTGAGAGGAGCCGGGACAGACGCCACGCTGCCCACGCCCAGGCCCACGCATACCCACGGCAATGAGCACATCTGCCAGGAGGATGTGCCAGCTCAGCTGCCCGGCATTGATTTGGATCAGTGCCTCTCCCACGGCAAGGAGGCCCTGGACATCTCCGTCACTGAGGGGGGACCTGGTGTCTGGCCGCTGGCTCAGCAGGGCCCGGCAACGGGAGGACAGGCCCTGCGTGATGAGGGCCTGGGCCTCTGGCTTGAGAGAGCAGATCTCAGGGACTGCCGCACGTGGGTCGAGCTTCAGAGCCGAGAAGATGTCGTCCACAGCTTCCTGTAAAGAGACAGGGCAGGGTGGGTGGCAGAAGTCATCCCAGCTGGGTATTTGTCAAGCGTTTATCCTCCCAGTGTCTGGGTGTTGGGGACACCAGGAAGGGTAGACAGCCCAGTCCCTGCCCTCCCACAAATGGAGGGGGGGGTCAGCCAAAATGAGGGCCCACCTGGTGAGCGATACAGGACAGAGCAGGGGGACACTGTGGTACATGTGTCACAACTCTGGAAGGGACAGATGGTCTGGAACTAGAAGGTTTGCACTGATCAAGAATCCACAATGGCACAGAGGGAGGGACTGAGCTGGCACCTGCAGGGCAGCGAGCACGCGTGTGGGACAGCCGAGCTGAGTATGCAGCTTGGGGACAGGAGGCAGGGAGGGGTCCTGAGGCCCTGACTTGCTGTGGAAGCACAGGACAGCCTTGGAGGTCGGTGAGTCATGTGTATCTGACCTCAGACCTGGTCAGCAGTCGGGAACCATGAAGTCATCTCCAGGCCCATCTTCCTTGGTTTTCTAGTTGTCTTTTTATTTTATTTTATTTTTTTATGCCTTTGTTTCTCCCTTTCTACCTTCTTTTGGATCAACTGAATATTTTTAGTATTTTCTTTTAATCCCTCCATTGGCCTTTTAACTTTGCCTCTTTTTACTATTTTTTAGCAGTTGCCCTAAAAAAAGTTGCCCATGTATCTTTAACTTACCACAGTGTACGTAGAGTGAATAAAGTACCACTTCATGGAGGACATAAGAACCACACAGTACATGTCCCTCACCCCTGCCCTTTCTGAAATAGATAGCTTCATTCAAAAAAATTCAGACAAGGAATAAATGTATTCTTTTGTATTTAAGTATGCTCCTTATTTCTTCTAGCAGAGAATTTCCATCAGGTGTCAATTCTTTTCAACTTCATCTACTTTTGCATTTTTTTAAAAGACTTTTTTATTGGGGGATTGGGGGAGGAGAACAGACAAGTTGCTGTCCTTTTGTTCTTCAGTCTAGTTGTGGAGGATGTCGCTTCACTGGCCCATGTTGGTATTATCATTGTGTTCTTCCCGGCTGAGGCAGTCACTTGCTGGCCATTGGACGGCCGCTCATGCCGGCTGCCAGCCACTCACAGTAGCTCATGGCAGCCCACTGCAGGCTACACTGTCGCCGGTGACTCACGGCAGCCCAGCTCCAGGTTGAGCTGTTGTTCACCATCTTAGCTGTAGAGGGCGCAGCGTCACTGGTCCTCATGTGGGATCCGAACCTGGGCCCTGCTGCTCAGAGCTGGCGTCCCAAGCCAACTCCTAACCAACGTGCCACTCGGCCGGCCCTACTTTTGCGTTTTGTCTGCTGGCAATGAGTTTCCTCAGCTTTCATTTCCTTGAAAATGTCTTTAATTTCACTCTTATTTTTGAAGGGCATTTTAACTGGACAGAGAATTCTGGGTAATATATATTTTTTTCTTTTAGTCTTTAAAGATACTCTCCCCTCCCAGTCTTCTGGCTTCCATGGCTTCCGTGACAAGTCAGTTGTGTCGATTCTGCTGTGCTGGATGTGACATTCCTCTTTTCCTCCAGCTGCTTTTGCAACGTTCTCTGTACCTTCAGTTTTCAGAAATCTGACCAAGCTGTGCCTAGTGTGGCTCGCTTCGTGGTCATCACATATCAGTACGCATGGATGTGAAGAAACAATGGTGGAGAGCTTCCCAAGAAGCTCAGCAGCCCCAAAGATGACAAATGTGAAGAGAACCACAGCTGGGCACATGTTGGTTATAAACGTATGTCTCCCATTCTTTCTCCTCTGGGACTCCAGTTATACATACGCCGGACTGCCTGGAGTTGTCCCAGAGGTCACTGATGCTCTCATTTAAAAAAAAAAATCCCTTTCCCCCTCTGTTCTTCAGACTGGGTAATTTATATTGGTTCATCCTCAATTTCACTGACCCTTTCTTGGGCAATTTCCAATCAGCTGTTTAGCCCGTCAGTACATTTAAAGTTTTAGATATTATACTTTTCGGTTCCAGAATTTCTATTTGCTTCTTCTTTACAGTTTCCATTTCTCTGCTAGGATTCCCCATCTGTTCACTCATTAGGACATGTTTTTCCTTTAAGTCCTTCGCATGTTTATAATTGCTGCTTTAACACTTTTGCTAAGTCCAATACCTGAGCCACCTCAAGGTCTGTACAGAGTGCTTATTTTCCTGACTATTGGTCACATTTTCCTGGTTCTTTGTGTGTCTTGCAGTTTGAGTTGTGCTGGGCTTTATGGCTGGTATGTTGTGGAGAGTGGATGACGTCACTGCCTTGTAAAGGGTGTTCAATTTTGTTCTGGTGGGCAGTCAGATCACCGGTGGATCATTTTGGTCTTTCCAGACTTGGTTTTGTTCCTTGTGGGGGCAGGTCCATTTCAGTTTTGAACTTAGTCCCAGGGATGACCTTTAGTTTAGGGTGTGGCCTTTACTTTACTTAGGGCGTGGTCTCCACTGACTGCCCAAGGTGAGAAAGGTCTCTGCTCTGGCTGAGTCAGAGCTCCGACATCTCCCAGCCCTGCCTGACCCTGGGGTCGCCATTCAGCTGTCAGCCCCAGCACAGGTGAGCTCTGCTATCCCCTGCGTCTTGCCCTTACATGCAGCCCAGCCCTCAGACAAGGATGGATCCACTGGGAATCCCATGAGGACGTCCCTCCTGCGAGCGGTCCCCTCTTCTCCTTTGCCCTTCCTTGCAATTCCAGCCACCTCAGCGGCCTGGGGCTCATCTCTGCCCCCTCCGCTCAGCAAGCCCACCTCCTTGTGCAGTGGTGACAGGAAAGGCTCCCAGGCAGAAAGGCAGGTTAGCGTGGGGCTCACCTCATGTGGTTTCCCTTCTTTTAGGGGTCACAGCTCCCCACTGCCTGCTGCCTAAGGCCTGAAGACAGTTGTCACATATTTCATCCAGCTATTTTGTTTCCAGCAGCCCAATACCAGTTGCTCCCTCCAGGACAGGTGTCCAGATGCATTTCAAGTCTGGGATGAGTTCTCCTGGAGCAGGTGTGTGGGATGCTGGTCTTGGAGACACAGAGCCCTGAGGTGGGCGGCTGGATGGACAGTCCTCTCTGATCTTCCTACACCATGTCCATAGTGCTGGCCACTGGTAACCCTGGATTGGCTGGTCACCTTTGCAGGGAAAAAGCCCAATTCTGTGCTGGTTCATTGGAGTCCCAGCTGTCATGTACATTACAGGTGAGACACCAAGCTGAGTGTCTGGCAACATTGATCAGGAGGAGGAAGGTCACATGTTTGAAGGGGTTGGGGTTGGCCCTGTGCCCACCCTCACCCCCACGTCCCTTCCCTGCCACACATCCTGCTGCTCTGCATAGAGTGGGAGGGGAGACGTTTCTGAGGCACCTCTCGGAGGTGCTGCTGGCATGTTGAGGGCACCCAGGGCCGGGTTTCTAAGGACTCCCCTGCAGCAGGGGCCCTCCTGGCCGAATCCCTTCTCTGTGTAATGAGCTTGTCCCTGCAAGCCACAGAGGCTTGCCCGGCCCAGGAAGAGGTGTGCAGAGGGCTGGGTTCCAACCACAAGTGCGCCCAGGCTGGGACAGGCGTCAGGCTGCCAGCGCCCTTGGGGGAAACACAGACGTCCTGCTGGCAGGAGCACTGCTTCAAGAAGCTCTCGTGTCAGTGGCAGCTTGCATTGTTTACTTTGCCTCCCAGGACTCCAGCCCTTAAGCAAATTAAAGAACCTGGTAGGCAGGTTGCCCCTGGGTTGCTCTTTTACCCAGCAAAGCATCAGGCAGGCAGCCAATTTCAGTCACTTGTCATTGTGACATTGCTCTTGGCTGAGAAGTGCCCTTGTCCGTGCTGTTCAGCTGTGGCTGCCTCTGGGCACATCTTCTCTGTGCTAAGTACCTGCCCTGGGCCTGGCAGTGGACCTCTCCTGCCCTGCCCCTGCACAGTGACCATCTGAATCCACAGGCTCTGTGCAGACAGCTCAGGGAGGCACCCAAAACGGCAGCCGGGGTCTCATTATTTTAAGCCGGGGTGCCCCTGCTAGCCTTGAGGATTTGCACATCCATCCATGCTGACCAAGGCTGGGAGGCACAGGGACTCTTCGGATGAAAGGAAAAGACTCCCCAAAGCCAGGGATGTGACGAAGAGGCTCCTGTGAGCTCCAGGGCAGGTGGGGTTTTGATGGGTGTCTCACAGTCAGGACAGCCTGCCCCTGCCTGTTCTGTCCTCAGGGGGTTAGAAGGAAGGCAGCACCTCCCCCAAAGCATGCCCAGCCCACCTGCCCAGTCCTGGGGTGGGGGGACCATACCTCCTGCTGGTCCAGGGCCAGGCGCAGCAGTGCCCGTCCACACAGGGCCTGCACGTTCCCCGGCTCGGCCCGCAGCACAGAGTTGAAGTCGAATATGGCTGTCTTTTTCTGGCCCAGGAGCCCGTAGCAGCGGGCACGTGCGAGCAGGGACTCGCTTGCCTGACTCCCTGGAGGAAGGGGTGTCTGGTGTCAGGACCGTTTGCTGACTCCGGATGGGTACCATCCAGCATTCACTGTGCCCTTCCTGGTGCCTGGTGGTGGGGAGAACCAGAGGGTGCACGGGCTCTGGGGCCAGCTCAGGAAGCTCGCAGACCACTCACAGGCACCAAGACACAGTGAGGGCAGCCCAGGTTGACCTGGGGCACTGGCAGCCCAACTAGGAGGGGTGGCATCTGGGAGGGCTGGTAGACAGTCAGAGGGGGCTTCCAGGTGGAGGGGGCAGTGCAGCTGCATCTGAGGCGAGGGGCTAGGGGGAGAAAGGGTCCTCAGGGCTGGGCATGGAATGGCCGCAAGCATGAAGGTGCCAGGAGGGCAGGAAGGAGCCCTCTGAATTCTAGGCACAGGATGTCCCTCCCAGAGAGGTTGATTCCACCGTGCTCCTTCCAGGAGTGTGTCCAGTGATGGACACAGGGCACCATGCTTTGGGCTCTGCAGGACTTTGGGTGTTGTGTCCCCTTCCCGGCTGACGTGTGCGGGGTGTGAACTCTGCTCCAGGAACCGACCTGGTTATCTGAAAACTAGCTCCCTGGATCCTCACTCCCCACCCCACATGGCGTCTCCGTCACCCCACTTGGAGGAGAGGGGAGAGAGGGGGTGCTCAGTAAGTGCAGAGCCAGAAGTCCATCAGCATTCGGATCCTAAGTCCATACTTTGACTCACACACACCCCAGGAGCCTGCCGTGCATACTTGGGAACGTCCCTTCAGGTCACTTTGCGATGCTCTGGCCAGGCCTCTGGCTGGCACCCAGGGTGGGGCCAGCAGGTTGGCTGGGTGAGCGGAAGGCCAGGCGTACACATACACACAACAGCGAGACGACCTCATTTTTGCCAGGAAGTGCTTGGGAGCTGGGCCCCTCACCTCCCCGGTTGGAGGGAGAGGAGCTGAGCTGGGCAAAGGGCCTCCGCTGGCCCTCCTACCCTCAGGGCCCAGGATGTGGAAAGGCGCAGCCCAAGTCCCCGCAGGTGCAGCCCCTCTCCCAGGCTGTAGCATGCTCACCTGGATTGCCAGGGCCTGGGTGCAAGTTGCCCTCAGCGAGTGGCCCATGCCCTGTCCACCCAATGGATGTTCCCGGGTGTGCACACGCCCTGGAGCCCTCCACCCGAGGGTGTGCCCGGACTCCCTGATCCCCTACGCCCAGCATGGCAGAGGCTACCCATGTCCCCGTGTATCTGGCACAGAATGGGAGCCCTGTGGGCGGGCAGGCAGCTCCTACCCGCAGCGAAGATGGCCAGGGAGAGGTAGGCGATGGCTTCCCTGGTGTGGGCCTCGCCCTCGGCCCCGCCTTGCCGCGCCCGCAGGATGGCCAGGGCCCGCGTATGGCAGTGGCACCGCAGCAGCTGCCGGTCCTCGTTGCGGAAGACATCCAGGGTGGGCTGGAGACAGGCTGTGTCCCCAGACTGGACCACCTTCTTCACCAGCTGCAGGGGCAGGAAAGTCACCACAGTTTCTCCTGTGCCTCACGTGCAGCCCATTCCACTCCCATGCTCCTTGGGGGACACGGCTCAGAGGGGCGTGGCTCAGAAGGCTTTGGCCCGCGGAGGCGTGGCCCACAGGGGCGTGGCCTTGGGGGCGTGGCTCATGAAGACAGTGCACTGGGACTGCGCGTCCCCAGCGTGGAGCACAGGGAAGACTGGGGTCCGGGAGGTGTGAGTGCTCCCCCTGGCCTGCTCCTCTCTACTTCGTGGTGTGGGGTTTGGGGTCCTAGTGTCCCTGAGCCTTGTCTCCTTCTCTGTGACATGGAGGTGGAGATCTCGATCCATGATCCAAATGAGAACAGCCGGTCCAAATGAGAACAGCGAGGAAAGGAGACTTCCAAATCATAAAGTGACAGAGGGCACCAGGAGTCAGAAAGCGCTGAGCAAATGCCCTGAGACAGTGCCCGCGTGGGTGGAGTGAGCCCCAGAATGGACATGACCTTGGCACTCAGAGAGGCTCCACCCCAAAGAGACCCGATGTTGCCCCTGCTGGCCACTCGCCGACGACACAGGTCCCAAAGCACCCTTCCCCCGCACCTGTAAGGCCCAGTGCAGGGAGACCAGACACCCAAGCCAGGCTAGAGGACAAGGAGGACGCTGACGGTCCACACAGTGCCTGCCCCACAGCCCCTCGTCGTCTCCCCCGCAACCCTCCCAACCTTCCCCCCTCCCCCGCACGTAACCTTTTGACCCTGTTCCAACAGGAAGCCTTATAACACCTGAGGGAGGTGTTCTGCTTTTCCTGGGAGCAGAGGAGTCTTGGAAGGGGGCGAGGCAAGCAGGTGCTGAGGGTCTGGGGGCCCCTCCACCGTTCCCCATCCCCGGGGCAGGGTCACATCCATGCTGAGTTTACATGGGAAATTTGGGACAAAGCTCGGCCTACACTCAATCCTTGGCCCTTTTTTTTTTCATAACACAACAAAAGCAAATCTGGAGCGCCTACTGTATGCTGGGGCCTGCTGGGCCCTGGGGCACTTGCTCCGGCTCATTCCTATGACAACTGGCAAGACCAGGGTGCATATGAGGAACCTGAGAGGTGAGGGGCCTGCCAGAGGTGGCAGAGCTGGGGCCGGGACAAGCTGTGCCTGCTTCAGAGTCCGGGTGTGGGGAGCAGAGTGAGGGGCCATGAGGCCTGGTGCTCTCTGCAGAGCTGGGCCCCATTTCTGCGTGGCCTGCTGTGGCCCAGCAACCTCACCTGGTTGGCGTCGTAGAAGAAGCCCCTTCGAAGCTGCAGCAGCGCCAGTCGTGCAAGCACAGGGGCTGCCTGGGGCCTCTGGGACAGGGCCACCAGCAGCGCCTTGTGGGCCTCATCCAGGCGGCCCAGGCGGTACAGGGCGTCGGCCACCAGGAGGCGGGGAGCCTCATCCTCTGCGTCCAGCTCCATCAGGAGCGTGGCCAGCTGGTACACACCTTGGGCGTCCCTGTGGAGAGAGCACTGGGGGAGTGCCAGCCACAGGCAAGTCCTGTCCGGGCGCCTGGCCCAGGCAGCTCCCTTCCTGCTGGACTGCAGAGACCCGGGTGCTGTGGGAGGACCCTCGGCCCTCACCCCCTTTCGGTGCTGTGGGAGGACCCTCGGCCCTCACCCCCTTTCTGTGTCCCACCACCCTGTGGGGCAGCTGTGTGCCTACCCTGGGCCAACCCTGCCTTAGTCCCCTTTTCTGCAGAGACAGGATAAGAATATGGGCTTGTTGTAGGCAGAGTGAGGGAACATGGCCGCCTGTTAGGCTGCTGGTGTCCTGGGAATGGGAGTGAACTCCCACTGGGGGAAGGCGCCAATTCTTAGAGAGAACAAACATAAAGGGCCCCAACCACATGCGAAAGTTTCTCCTCACCGGCAAATCAAAGCAATGCATATCAAGCAACCGGGACAGAGGGAGTGTGTGTGTGAGAGGATGTGTGTGGTGACATTCCCCCCACCCCACCCAGAAAGCCTCCAGCTCAGGGAAGAGCTTTGCCACCTCTGGACAATCAGAGGGGTGCACATGAGAGGGGCTGCCACTGGGCTGGCAATCAGTTTGCAAAGGAACCTCAGGGCTGGGTGTGGGTCACATGGGCAGGCGGGCAGCACCCAAAGTCAAGGACCTGGCAGGGGCCACGCTCCCTGACCCGGGACGCCTCCTCTGGCTCCATCTTACGGGACGTTTCCCGGGGTTGGTTATAGCTAAGAGCAGCTCTGGCTGCCGGTGCGGTTACCGCATGGCCTCTGGGGCTGCTGGAAACATATCTGGCGGCAAAGGAGAGTCTCGTGACCTGCTGAGTGACAAGGTGGGATAGCAATGCATCCGCAGCACAATTCGGTCTGTGAACCAACGAGCAGGGATGCTAACCGTGGGATGATGGGCTTCATTTTTCATTTCCCGTTTGAGTTTCGAATTTTCTGTAAGTCAGCCCTTAACGCATCGGTGGTGGGGCCTGAGGTCTGGGCCCCTGCACTAAACCTGCCACCCATCATTTAGGGAAATCACCCAGCTGCTCCCTGCCTCAGTTTACCCATCTGTAAGTCAGGAAGAGACACACCCTGGCTACCTGGCAGGAGCCCAGAACGAAGCAGCCCCAGGTGAGCGCGGGGCTAGTTTTTACCCTTCCTGCGCAGCGGGGCCGTCCATCTCCGCGGCCTTACTCCGGCGGCCCTGCGCGCCCTTGGATCCCGGGTCGGGCTTCCGCTGCAGCATCCTGCGGCCCTCCTCCCGCAGCACCGTCAGCAGCAGCCCCCGCTGGTTCCAGGGCACGTAGGCCTTGGCGACGAGCAGAGCCTCATCCGGCCGCAGCCGGCAGGCGGTGACATAGTCCAGCGCGCCCAGAAACGTGCTGCCCGCCAGCACTCGCAGCAGCCCGCGGCCGCACAGTGCACGCACACAGCCGCTCGTGTGCGGCGGCCCCTGCTCCACCACCGCCTGGAAGTCCTCCCGGGCGCGTAGCGCGTCGCCGACGTGCAGCGCGCAGAAGCCGCGGAGCGCCAACAGGGGAGCGCGGTTGCCGGCACGGTCCCTGGATTTCGAGGGCTGCAGCAGGCGCTCACACAGCGCCAGGGCGCCCGCTGCGTTCCCGGCCAACAGCAGGCACTCGGCCAGGCGGGTGCCCAGTGCCGGACGCGCCCTGGGCGGTGCCACACGCAGCAGAACACGGAGCGCGCGGGTCACCGGGGCCAGCAGCTCGCGGCCCGAGTCCTCCCGAAGCTCGGGGCGACTCCGCACGGCCTCCTGGAAGTGGGCAAAACCCACGTCCGCGGCCTCCTGTGCCTGAATCCGCACCCGCTCCCGGTCCCCAGCAGAGAGCAGAGCCTCGAACTGCCTCCGCGCCCCTGACGGGCTCTCACGGAAGGCCTGGTGCAGGTCCCCAAGCAGGTCCTGGGCCCCGCTGTCCAGGAAGAAGGCTGCGGCTGCGCGGGTGACCAGCAGGGCGGCCAGACGCTCACCTGGGGGAGAGAACAAGGGCGTTGGTCCTGCCTGTCCAGCCAGTCCTACCCGGGTGCCACCTCTAGCCCCCCAACTGTCCAATTTTGGACCCTCTGGAGCACGACCGCTCAGGGCATCTCTCGCTATCCCAGGACGTGGCACCACCAGGATGAGAGAAGCAGGAGGGACAACAGGGGCGGCAGCTGCCCTGACTGCCTGCACAGCAGTTCTCTCAGCGCGGGCGGGTTCAGCCAACACAGACATTTAGTCACAACGCCTCTTCCTCCCCCTCCACCTGTTAGGGATGGATTTTAGGATTGCGTTTCCTGCCCTGAGACGAGCCCTAGGACAGAGCTGAGGTCTGACCCCGTGACCTTGGTAGGGACTGGTGGTCACTGCAGCATTTCTGTTTCTTGCCTCCTTTGGGCCACACTGGGACACACCACTTCTCTTCTCTGAAACAGAGATGGCTCTCCCCCGTCAGGGCCAGGAAAGAGGCCGCTTACAGAGTGGGAGATCGGGTGACTCAGTCTTCTGTGCCTCGGTTTCCTCTTTTGCTTTATAATGGGATGACATGGTCTTGACTCACTGGGCTGCGAGGGTTCAATGGATTAATGCATGTCCAGTGCCCGGAACAGGGTCTGGTGGGCAGGATCACTCGGTGAGGTTTCACATCAGCAACAGCGTCACCTCCACTAGCGGCAAACTTTAACTCTGAACACCTTAAACGCGCTTGGGTGATCTGGGGCTTTCTGATTGGTGAAGAAAGCTGATCCGCCCCATCCCCAACAGGGCTCCTGGCAGGTGCACGCTACTGAGAGAATCCTAGGAAACAGTGCCGGCAGGAGCTCAAGGTGATGGGCCTCCCCCCTTATATTACAGGCTGGAAAGTGTTGGCGGGAAGAGGACATTTTCCGAGCCCTGGCGAGTCTGGATCTTAGGCTCTGAACCTCCGCTTTAGTGCTTTTTGCACAGCCCTTCAGAATTCTCAGAGCTTTTCCTTAAAACCTAACGTAGTCACCATGGCAATAACCCTTTCCATTGAGACAGGAGAGGGCAAAGCACCTTCACTTCTGCGTGGAAGCAGAACTGCCACCACCCTGCCCTGCTGCCATTGTGGGAAATGTCACATCACAGTTCAGAGCCAAGTGAAAAAAGCATCTTGCACCCTGAGGTCAACCAACCAACGAAGCTACCAGCAGCAGGGTCACCCTGTCTAGTCCTGGTGGCCAAAGTAAGAGAAACCTTGAGCCTTTCCTGTCAGTTACTAGGTCCTGATAACACAACTCGATCCTCAATTTGTGCAATAGTTCATGGAGCCCTTGAAGTCTGGGGGGCGGTTATTTCTTTACACATGTGTGTTCTCTGCTCTGCTTCTGAGCCTCTGCTTCCACACGTTAGATGACTAGGGATTGTCCCACAGGGCTCGTCGGTTCTTCATATCGGACAATTTCTCTTCTACCTTCAAGTTCACTGATTCTCCTGCTATCTCCAATATGAATTTTTCATTCCAGATTTTCAATTCCAGAATTTTCATTTTTAATGGTTTCTATTTACCTGCTGAGATTGCAGATCTGTTCATGCATTATGACCATATTTTCCTTTAGTCCTGAGTATATTTTGAATAGTTCCTTTAAAGTCCTTAGTATGCTGATTTCAGCACCTGGAGTATCTCAAGGTCAATTTCCGTGGACTCCCTTTTCTCCTGACTGTGGCTCGCATTGTATTTTTCTGTTTCTTTGCATGTCTAGTCACTTTTTATTGTGCGCTAGACATCTAGTGGATGCTTTGTAGAGACTCTGGATTCAGTTAAGCTCCTCTGAAGAACACATCCTTTTATGTTAGTAGGCAGTTAAGTTGGATAGAATCAAACCCCATATTCTGTCTCTTTGGTGGGCAGCCGTTGAAATCTCCTCTTAGTTCTTGGACCTTCCAAAGGCTGCTTTTTCAGGCCACCCAGGCTCTCCCACATATGTATATTTTGGTGGTCAGCTGAGGATTTGAATAGATTTAATATACAGATTTTGGGTCTCACCCCCTCTGTGGCTTCCTCCTTTGCAGTACTTCCTTCCTAACCTTCCAGCCCCTATTGTTTTCAGCCCTGAACTCTGTCCTGTGACATTTCAAGCCAGTAAAACTGTGGCTTTCTGTTTCACGTGATTAAAACCTGGATTGAGGAGTTTCTTCAGGCAAAAAGCTGCAAGCATGGACTCTCACCTGGCAGTCCTCAGCTTTCACCCCCCAGTTTCTGCCTGCATTTGTGCACTGTTCTGTACAGGCAAATGGTTGCCTTTTATGTTTTATCTAAATTTTATCATTGCTATCTCTGAGATACATAGTCTAGTCAAGCTAATCACCATTACTAAAAGCCAGACTCTCCTATTGTTAGACTTAAAAATTTTGGCAGTCTGGGGGATATAAAATGCTATCCCATTGTTATTTTAATTTTTGTTTTCCTGATTACAAATGAGGTTCATTTATTTAAAAATACTCCCCCCCCAACCTGATGGGTATCTCGTTTTAATTCACATTTGTATCATTACTATGATGTTGGACATTTTCCACATGTTTATAGCCATCTGTACTTTCTCTTTTGGGAAATGCTTTTGCCAATTCTAGTACCAGATTTTTTTCGTTATTGATATGTAGGAATTCCTCAAATACTCTGGGTACTAATTTTTTGCCCATTGTATATTTTGCAAACATTCTCTGTTGTGGGTTGTCCTTTTATTTTCTATAGTTATGGGCAAACAGAAGTTGAAAATTTTTAATTTAATCAAAAGTATCACATTTTCCTTTATTCTTTCCAGTTTTTATATCTTAAGAAGCCCAGCTGGTCACAGAAGTCTTAATGATAATCCTCTTATATTTAGCTATTGACATAGTCCCTTGGACTTTAGTTTTCTGCATGGTTTGAAGTAGATAATCAGCACCACCCGTTGGATAGTGGTCCCCGTCTTTCCCTATAGAATTGCAACGCTCACTCTTATATTGTATATTAAGTTCCAGATATATGTGGCTCTGTTTCTGGCCTAATTTGTTTTATTGGTCTTTCTATCTATCCCTTAGCTCAGTAACCTTCTGTGTTTGTTACTATAGCTTTGCATTAACTGGTGGAGCAAATCTTTACACCACCGCCACCTTCCTCTCCATCTTCTCCCTTCCTCTCCCTCCCCCTCCGTGTCCTTCTTCCTTGCCTTGTCTATCATTGGTCTTTTGCTCTTCTGTCACATCATCAAATCTTTCTAATGATAGACATTGCATCTCTCTCCTTATATAGGTATTCTTTATTATCTTTTAATAAAGTTTTACAATTTTCTCCTTAAAGTCACATGACTCTGAAATAAATTATTTTCTGTTGCTACAGTAAGAATATTTTTAAACCACAAAGTTTCTATTTGTTGCTGGTGTCTATAAATATAAATGCTTTTTGTATATCCAGTTAAATTCTGTTCCTATGTTTAATACATTTTTGTTGTTTTTCTTTTTTGGGGGGCGGTTTCTACATAGCTAATCATATTGTCTGGAATAGTGATAACTTTGTTTCTTCCCTCTAGTGTTACATGTCTTTCCCCCTCCTTATTGTATTGCATTGGCTAGGCTCTCTAGTATGATGATGGATAACTAGGAGAGTGGGCGGCCACTTCCTTCTTGATTTTAAATGGAAGGCTTCTAAAATACCACTGTCAAGTATGATATTTTTGGTGGGTTTTTGATAGGTATTATCTTTCTGCATAGTTCTTTTTTTTTAAAGATGTTATTGGGGGAATTGGAGGAGGAAACAGCATTGGGGAATTGGGGAAGGGGAACAGACAAGTTGCTGTCCTTTTGTTCTTCAGTCTAGTTGTGGAGGACGTTGCTTCACTGGCCCAAGTTGGCACCATCATTGCGCTCTTCCCGGGTGAGGCAGATCGGTTGCCAGCCATTGGACGGCTGCTCACAGCAGCCCACTGCAGCCCCACTGCAGCCTATGCCGTCGCTGGTGACTCACGGCAGCCCAGCTCCAGGTCGAGCTGTTGTTCACCATCTTAGCTGTAGAGGGTGCAGAGTCACTGCTCATGTGGGATCCGAACCGGCAGCCCTACTGCTCAGAGCTTGTGCTCCCAAGCCAACTCTTAACCAATGAGCCACTCGGCCAGCCCTCTGCATAGTTCTTAATGAAGAACTTTGAATACATGGGAAATGGTTGCCCCTGGTGCTTTGGGAAGATAAGTGCTCAGGGAACCATGGCATGTGGATGATTCCACGCCGGGAGGTTTGGTAAAGCTCTTATTCTGTATCTTGTCCTCATGCAGCGAGTGTCCCTGTGTGTCTACTTACTAAGAATGGCACAGCACTTTCTGAATTATGGAAGGGCTGTTCAGTGTTTCCAAAGACTTTTGATAAATAACCTTGAGATTAAAATACATTTGTTATGGGAACTACATTTATAAAAAGTTTGTGATAGGAAATGTATTTGTTTACATCTTAAGCCATGCTGTGCTGCTGGTGGTGATAAGGTGACTCCCTGTGACACAGATGACTTAGGTTTAATTGACACAGTGATTCTTAGGGAAGATGCTCTTGTTCAGTTCAGAGCCAAGGCTGGACAAACAAGCTTCCTGAGGGGAGTGGGAAAGGGGTCGGGGGGTGGGGGCGAGGCAGAGTTTTCCTAGCACACTTGTCCCCTGAGGCTGTAGCCCTTTGGAGATCTTGGATTTCTGCAGGGTCTCTACTGGCCATTGAAGTGGAAGGCCCCTGTACCTTGGGAGCTGCTGACTGTCCCCAGCCTGCATGACATTGGCCACTGCTCACCACTGCTCAGCCACTGCATGCTTGTGCTTTGGGCACGCAGGGTCCCCTAGTTTCTCATAAGCTCAGTATTCTTTGTGGCTCTGTTGAACATTTGTATACCTTTTACAGTGGGAGGATGTCAGGGTATCTGGTCTAGCAGATTTCCAAACAAATTTGCCCACTCACTTTTCAGTTTTCTCTGTCTGGTCCCCCTCCCACACTGGGGTCACCATAACCTCCCTGCAGCACACTTAACAGACGTTTTCTGTCCTCTCTTCATGAACACCACAGTGGCAGCTGTCAGTGCAGCGCACACCTCAGTGTCTACAAACACCCTCGGTGTCTGGCCCTCACCATCACCCTGCAGACCTCTCAGCTCCCTTCTTCTCATTGTCCTCCTGTCCTCTTTGCTGGGTCTTTTTTTGTGGGGCATTATGGTAGATGGTTAGGAGCACCCTGGGGGTCAAATTTCAGCTAGAAACACTCTGGGAGCCCCTGGCAGTGCCCTTGGGCACTGGGGTTGTGGTTGCGCCCATCACCAAAGGGGGCTGAGCGAATTCACTGAAAATGTGTATCAAACCCTGAAAATGGGATTCACCCTAGTGTTCAATAGTGGCCAGTAACATGCCATTCCCCACCTCTGGGTGTCCGGCCGCCCCACCCGCTCCTCCCTGCTCGCTCCCTGTCTAGACCCTGAACTTTAAATCCCTTCTTCATGTCGACTCGTCCAAAACCACTTCTTCAAACCAAGTCCCCTCTCATCTCAAAGCTCATGTGTTCAGCTGCCTAGTGACGTATCCGCTTGATTGGCTTAAGGGACATTTTTTGAATACTTAGTGGTGACACAATTAAAGGGTTTTGATACACATTTTCATTGGATCTGCCCAGCAACCCTCAGAGGTGGGTGCAGCCACCATCTCTCGTGCACACGGGGAGGCCCCATGGAGAGGCCATGCAGTTGGTGGGGAGCTCAGACTGCTCATGGTGGCGGCAATATGGCTCCTGACCCCCGCTCCACTGCCTAGCCCCCACAGAAGGAGGACCCGACAAAGGAGCAGTAGCTCAAATGGGGTGTGTGTAAAACCCCTGACACCCCCTTTCTGGTCTGCTCCTCCCCTGCCCACTGCCATTCAATTGCTGAAGGCGAATTCTTAAAATCATTCTTGACCTTTCTCAGCACCCCTCTCTCCACCATTAATACCCAGCACAATCTTATCATTTCTATTGGGTTGTCGGAAAAGCCATGACGTGTTTTTGCAACGAAAGACAGAAAAAATACGTCATGACTTTTCCGCCAACCCAATAATTCAGTGATAGCTCAGAGCCATCACCTCTCTTCAACTCTGATCTGAGCATCCGCAATCTCTTGCCTTCTAGCCTCCCTGCCCAGACCCCCTCCCGGCCCGGTACCCCTCCTGGCCCGGTCCCCCTCCTGGCTCCCAGCAGGTTTGGTTTTCACCCTGGCTCCCACAGCACATTCTGCACTCAGCAGCCAGAGGAAACTTGCCACATGCAACCCAGGGCACCTTACTTCATAGTTTAAAACTTTCTGTGGCTTCTTGCTGCTCTGAGGACAATCCAAAGTCCTTTTGAAGCCAGCAGGGCTTAGCTACAGCTACTGTCTTCAGGGCCTCCCCTCTGCCTCTGTCCCCTTCCTCCTGTCAGCCACCCCAGCTTCAAGTTCTTTCTTCCTTAGGGACCTGGCACACTCTGTTTCGCCGCCTGGCATCGGCTCAGATGACACCTCCGAGAAGCCTTCCCTGACCACCTGACTAGAGGAGCACCTCGCCTGTTCCATTTCCCAAAGCACGTATTTTGTTTGATTCTTTTCTTGGTTGCTCCGTTTGTAAGGGCAGGGGACTGTCCACCTTGTTGCTGTGGTGTCCTGGCCCCAGCACACCCCCAACTCCCACCATAACGAGGACTTAACCATGCTGTGAAGGAATGGCCCTTGGGGGATGTGATCGGCTCTCCTACCTTGGGGTCTGCTGCCCGTCGGGTCAGGCTCAAGGGCTCGGCTACATGCCGCCCGGCAGTCCTCATACCTGCCACCGCGGAGCAGAGCTTCGGGCGACAGGGCATCACTCCAGGTGCCCTCGGGGTCCAGGGCTGCCAGGAGTCTCTGGGAGTCGGTCTCCTGCCAGCTGGTGCTGTCCCCAGCCTGCTGGCTCCTTGAGATGTTGTCCTGGAGGGTGCTGACAAGCACGGGGAGGTAGGGCTGCTGGTGGGTGCGGACAAAGGCCACGGTCCGGTCAGCGCTCGAGGTGAAGGCCTGGACGTAGTCGGCCAGGCCAGCGTCCACCTGTGCCCCAGACAGGACCCAGGCCAGGGCGCGGGTCAGCCGCAGCTCCAGGCTTTGCTGGGTGTGAGCGTCTAGAAGGGCACTGCACCGCTGTGCCACTTCCCGGTGGCGCCCATGTGCCAGCAGTCCGGCCAGGGAGTGCAGGACCGCGGCCGGGTGGTCCGGGCAGAGGGTGGCCAGGAAGGCAGAAGCCAGGGTCCCAGTCAGGGAGACCACCGCCATGCCGTCCCAGTGGATGGCCGGGATCTGGCTGTCACCGCGGCACCAGGCCTCCAGGGTGGCCACCACGGGTGCCCCCCGTGCCTCGGCCAGGGCAGCTCGGACCCTCCGCACGGCTGAGGGGGCATGGCAGCTGAAGGCAGCCAGGTAGAAGGCGGTGGCCAGTGGGGGCTCCCCCAGGGCCAGGTGCTGGTCCCCCTCCCGGCAGAGGCAGGCCACAAGCTCCTGGGCCGACATCATGCCCGTGCTCCTGATGGGTCCATGTCCAGTCCTCACGGGCACCTGCATGGGGGTCGTGGTTACTGCAAAAGCGGTGGTCAGCCCGATGGCCTCGCCCTCCCCACTGAGACCTCAGGGTCAGCTCTGCGCCCAGCCGCTGAGTGAGAACAAGGTGCTGTTGCTCTGCAGGCGGTCTCCATGGGGCTGGGACCCTGCTCAGGAATCTACCATCTAGGGATACCTGACCCCTGAGCCCCACGTGGGGAGGATGGCCTGAGGGGCCAGGGACCCCAGTCCTTGCTCCACCTCCTGCGCCTCCGAGCACAGTGCCCCTCAGGAAGGCGGACCTTCCCTCCCGGATCAATCCGGTTCACAGGTGTTCGGCAGCCTTCTCAGCACTGATACTCCACACACCTGCCTGACCTCAGGTCACACCCCTGCCTACCTCTCACACCTGAGCAATGTGGGGTGGGGGTCAGGTGGTGAGGGGCGCTCTCTGGCTTTTGGGTGGAGAGCAATTTGGCCCAGGCCAGGGGTCACTTCTGAGGTCAGTTTGGGGACCAGCCCTGCCACGCACCTGTTTTCTTCCCAAACCTTCTGACCTGAAGAACTAACTACTCACAGCCCTTTCACTCTTCCTCCCAAAGTGCCTGCAGGCAGGCCCCCCACATAAGAAATGCTCTCTGACACACAGACCCACACTCCCGCATGCACACACACGGCACACATTCACATATGTGCACACATGCATGCGGCAGACACACATGTACACTCATGCATACGGCAGACACACATGTGCGCACACACCCTCACACTCGCCTGTGTCCAGCGCTCAGGGAAGGGAAAGGCGTGCGAGACCCACATTCACTGGCGCCCGGGGGAGGGGCCGTGGGCGCGGTTCCTCCTGAGGGTCCGCGGGTCCGCGGGTCCGCGGGCTGGGCTCCTGCTCGCCACACGGCCGCCGCCCGCACGGACCAGGGCGGCGGGAGCGTTTCCCAGGAGAGCGTCAACACCCCGCCGCCCGCTGCTCGGTGGCGCCCCCAGCGGCCGCGCCCTCGCCGCGGGCCCTGCCAGCCCCGCACCTCGGCCCCGCCTGGCTCCCTCGTCCGCCCTCCGCTCTCCCCGCGTCCCACGGGCGGGAGCTCGAGGCGGGGCGAGGAGGAGGAGGAGGCGAGAGCCGAGGGCAGCTTCGGATCAGGGGACCCGTTTTGCGGAGGGCTCGGGGTGCGGGGCCCCCGGGCACCAGATGGGAGCTGCCGGCGCTCGAGGGCCAGCCCTCAGCCGCAGCCTCACCACGCTCACAGCCCAGGAGGGGGCTCCGGAGGGGGCGCCCTGGCCCCTTCCACCTCCGGAACTCTGGCTGGCAGCTTCCCGCCCCTTTCTCCGCAGCCTGCACCCCCCCTCCTGCAGGTTGCTTCCAGGGAAACTGCCCCAGGCCTCCCTTTCCACCTGCGCCCCGGTGGGTTTTCCCACCGATCTTGGGTGCCCTCCCCACAGGCTGCTCCCCGGCGGGTCGGGCGGACGCGGACCCTCTGCACGTTCATCCCTTTCCCACCACCTGCCCCTCCTTAGACCTAGGCCCAGAAGGTGGCTCTAAGCGGTGACATAAGCCTGCCAGGTCAGGGTCACCTTGACTGTAGCACCAGGTGATATTTTAGGAACCCCCTCCCCCCACCCTCCAGCAGCAGGAAGGAAAGGCGACTGGGTATGAGACGCTGAGCCCGGCTAGCACAGGCCCCTGCCCTGGGGTGGGGCGCCCTGGGGAGGGGAGGGTAGTTGCAGGTCCCTGCAGAGAAGGTGCTGCTTTGGGCCCCTCCCAACTCAAAATGCCACAGTGCCCAGGTAGCAGGCAAGTCTCCGGTCCTCTGTGTGCCCCAGGGAACCAGGTGGGGTGCCTGCTGGGGTGTGGGTGGGTCCTGTGAGGCAGGGAGTGTGGGGGCACCAGGAGTGTGGGGTACTGTGTCTCCAATGTCTTTCCCAGGGTCTGGGCCTCCTGGGACGGGGCCTCCTGGCCGTTAGGGAGTCCGGGGTCAAGTTCTGCAGTGGGCAGGCAGGTGTGGTCAGCAGGGCCCCGTCTTCGGCCTGGCTTCTGGCCTGCTCTGCATCTGCTTGACCTTCACAAAGGCACAGCACCCAAGCGACGAGCGCAGTGGTGACAGTTTATTAAGAAATTTCCCATCGCTTTGATTATTTTCATGTTAATTACCCTAATTAGGCGAGAGCCATAATGCAGCAGGGCTGTCACAGGGGCTGCGGGACGGGCCCCGGGGCGAGGAGGTGGCCGAGCTGCCTGACATTCATTTCACATTAGCCCTGATGGGTCCCCCGAGTCTCTGCCCCGCACGGTGCCCGTGGACCTGCAGGCGCTGGCCAGATAAGCCTGGTGGGCTCGGCAGGTCACAAGCTGAGATTGCAGCCCCCCCCTGAGAGCAGCATACCTGAGGCAGGTGACCTCTGGGCTTCGTGCCATTGGGGGCGGGAGGGAGTGGTGGTCAGGATGTAGGACCACGAGTAGTTATAGAGCATGTGTGTCCCTTCAGGCCCTGGCTGATGACAAGTTTGGAAGGAGGCTGACTACCTCAGCTGCAGCGGGAGGGCTCCCCGTTTCTGACGGTGTCTGGTGGAAGTGATTCTGAGCACTTGCCCTTTGCGCTGCGGTGCCCATCAAAACCTCAGTGGGACAGCACAAATGGCATCTTTGTGGGAGTTTCATGGCTCACACACGGCTTTAGGGGCAAACAGACTTTCTCTGTGATGGAAGCATTAGGCTCCAACTGAACACACGTACGTGTATACTGTCACCCTGCTGTGCCAGGAACCCAGTAAAAACCAGCCTGGAGCCCAGGGCCAAGGTTGTCACCAAGCCCGACAAGAACACAGCCCTGAGGAATGTTCTGGCATCCCAGGGATGTCCTTCCTGCTCCTAGGGGCTGGCATTCTGCCTGCCAGTGGCCCCCGATTATGTGGTCAGACCTGGCTGGGTTTAGGGGGGGACAGGCTGCCACCACAAGTCTCCTGCAGGGACACACTGCACTCCCCGAATTGGCCATAAAATGGCCACCCTGAGGGATGTGGGCACGCGTCTTGCGGTCTCAGCTGGAGAACCAGGTCCCTGCTCCAGCAGTCGTCCTAGTCATGGTCCTGAATCTCGGATAAAGACCCGCCCGCCGGAGGGGGCACGCTAAGCACAGTACCCGGCTACCAGTGTTTCCTTAGGTGGGAGTGGAAGCACAGCAGGGAACACGGAAATGGAAGCAATTTATGAAAGTGGATGGTTGGTGATGGCCTTGCGGTGACCTTAGGTTTTTGTGGCTTTCCCTTGTGTGAGGCGGGGTGGGCAGGGCGCGTGTAGGTTCTGTCTGTAGATTCACAGAGGTCCCCTGCCTGGGATGAGGTGCTCGTGCAGAATCTTCACAGCCCCTCACGTGCTCCCCCAGGGGGACTAGACGCCGTCAGGTCGCAGAAGTCCACTTTACCCATCGCCTTTACAAGCAGGGGCGTTTTCCTTGCTTTGCCCACTGCCTGCCCTCCAGACACCTGAGAGCCCCCTGAGGTCAGGTGGGAGCCCAGCGCTGGGCCCAGAAATCAGGAAGTGGGTGCCAGGCCAGGTCCCTGCCTGTAGACCTGCTGTGGCCCCAGAAGGACCAGGGGCTCCCAGGCAACTCCTCCTCGTCCCAGAGGGAAGTCTGAGGTCTCCTGACACCTTGAGCCAATGCCAATGCCAGGGCCCAGGGCAGGGCTCCCAAGCGGGTGCCCTTCGCACGACCCCAGAGGCAATCTGGGTAGGCCTTGTACCCGCCCCTAGTGGTACAGAGTGGGGAAGGGCCCACCCAGCCCCCGGCCGGAGCTTACAGTGTCTCCCCGTGGGCTTCTCGGGGACACCCTCTCCTTCCCCTCTTCTCCAGGTACCCAACCCGGAAGGCAGGCTCATTTCATCTCAGCCAATCCCAATTAGAAAGCGGAACCCTTAACAACACCCCATGATGTACCCAAAACCCCAAAAAGATGACCTTGGGCTCTCTCAGGGGTGCTTCCTGCTCTCCCCTGCCAGGGGCAAGGTGCTGCTCTGGTCATTTCTCTGGGCTCAGCTCACACCACCCTGCACACCCCAGGGTGCTCTCTGAGGGTGTGAGAACTCACCCAGAGCCCCCAGCTGCAGGGCTTAGGACACCCCCATGGCTCTCAGGATCCCCTTGGCCCCAGGGGTGTGTGTGGGGCTTACCTGTGGCTGCAGTGGCCCGATACCTGGAGGGGTCCAGGCGACCAGGGTGGGTGGGACCTGGTCATGACCAGATGAAATTTCAGCCTCAGGTCCCCACTGCCAGATGGGCCCGATGGTGGGAGCCCAGTCTTTGGGAGTGAGGAGCGGGGAGGCCTCTCTCCTCGGGGGGCCTTCCTCCTGGCCCCTGACCACCCACAGGCCTGAACCTCCTCCTCACTGGCCTGGCAGAGCCAGCTGCCCTGGCAGCAGGTGGGTGGGAGGGGCCGCACCTGTCACAGGTGGTTCTCTCTTCTATCGCTGATCAATAATGCAGTGGAGGTGCAGCGTCCCCACCACACCCCTCACCCACCTGCCCACCTGTCGCTCTGGGCTGGTTTGGATCTCAATTACAGGGGTGGCGGTTTGCCGAGGGCCGCCTCTGCATTAGGGGTGCTATTGTGGGTAAAGCTCCTGTCTGGGGGATATTATAGGTTTGAGATATTACGTCCTAGTGCCGTGGAGGGGGCCCTTCTGTTTTTATCAGTCTTCTATGGCTCCCCTAAACGAACAGCTCCTGTTCATGGGACCTGCCCCCTGCCTTCTCCTGCCCGTCTCCCAGCACCCTGGCCACTCAGCACAGCCATACTGGCTCTCCTGCTGGCCTGACCTCACCTGTTCCCTGACAAGGCTGTTCCTGCCTCAGGGCCTTTGCACTGCCAGCCCATCCTCCCCCACACTTCCTCCTTCACTTCCTTCAGGTCTCTGCTAGAGGGACCTTTGCTGACCCCCCTCGTTTAAAATAGCTCCCCATTTCTCTCTGCCCCCTCGCCGCGGGCTCCATTATCCAGCACCGTTCACTTGTCTGTTGTCAGCTTTTCTTGTTGGGATGTTGTCTGTAAGAGGGTGGGGCAGGCACCCGGCAGGTGGGCGAGGCAGGAGGGAGGGAGAGAGTATGGTAGGAGTGAAGCCAGGCGGGGCCTCGGTGACCTCGGGGCTGCCGTCCAGGGAGGACCTGGGCTCCCCCAGAGGAAGCGGCCTCGATCGCAGATCTCCCCAAATTCAGCGCCTTTAACAGGTACCATCTGTCGTTGCTTTCAGAGCAAATTCTGAGGAGCCCTGAAAGCAGGAAGTTGGGGAAGTTCACTTCCCCCCAAAGCCGGCCTACTTTCTCCGCTGCCTTTTGCTCCCTCTGAAACTCGGTAACCAACAGGGGACGGGAGATTAATGGGCCGAACCACCGGCGGCCTTGTGTACAGAGCCTATATTGGTTTGCACTAACGAAGTTTATCAACCAGGCGCGGGATCATCAATCACACAGAAAAATAACACAGCGAAATGACTTTTCAAAATGTCGTTGGTATAATTATCATCTTGCCCATTACACTAAATGCCGCCATTTATATCTGCGATGCTTAAGTATGCAAACAGTAATTAACGTGGTAATGAACCGGGGGCCCCAGAGCCTCCCCTCCCAGAGCTAATTTGCATGTTAATTATCATTAGCGACCAGGGAAACAAGTTATAAACAGCCTAATTAGCAGCCAGATCATTTTTACAAGAAATTGTGTGCACTTTGACACATGAGCGAGTGTTAGATTAATGAAGTCAGGTGGCACTGCCCGTCCTGCGGGCGGGGTGCCCTCATGCGGAGGTCTCGGTGGCCTTGCTGGCCATGGTGGCATCAGCAGCTGGGTGCTGTTAGGGGTTGGCGTCATGGCTGGATGCAGCACACTCAGCGGGCGGTCGGGGTGGTGCCCGGAGAGAGTGG